AGGCCAATAAGCCAGTTAGAGAGACAAACCACGCATGATCTCATTCACAGGCGAATCTAAAGAACGAAATAAACGGATGAACAAAGCAGGCTCGGAGGTAGGGGTGCATGGGACAGGACGGCAGAGGGGAGAGGGAGAGGAGAGAATTTGTGGGCACTATGCATCACCCAGGGACACAAGTCAAGGTCAGGAGTGGGTGGAGGGGGCCCAAGGGAGACATGTAATACTGTCAACAATAAAGAAGAGAAAGCCAGTCTCAGGGAGAGGTGAGGGAATGTGTTTAAAGTCACCTGCGGGCCCTGACCGGTGTGGCTCAGTGGATAGAGTGTCAGCCTGCGGACTGAAAGGTCCCAGGTTTGATTTCAGTTAAGGGCATGTACCTTGGTTGTGGGTGCATACCCAGTGGGGAGTGTGCAGGAGGCAGCTAATGAATGTCTCCCTCTCATCGATGTTTCTCTCTATCCCTCTCTGTAAAAAATCAATTAAAAATATTAAAAAAAAATAAAGTCACCTTCGGAAATAAACGAATGGAACTAGCCCCACATTAGAATTGGTAGACAAAGCATTTCATGCACCAGCCCTTCCATCTCAACCACCTTTTGAGGCAAAAACAAACAAACAAACAAACAAACAAAAAAACCCTGTTCTATTTATTTAGAAAAAAATTATTTATTTCAGAGATGAAGAAAGAGGGAGACACAGAAACATCCATGATGAGAGAGAATCATGGACCGGCTGCCTCCTGCACGTCCTCCACTGGGGATGGAGCCCACGCCACAGGCCTGTGCCCTGCCTGGAATGGAACCGAGATCTCCTGGTCCACGCTCAACCCCTGAGCCTCGCTGCCCAGCCAAAACTTTTCTTTTTAACTTATCTTTATTGTTGAAAGTATTACCTATGTCCCCTTTTCTCCCCCTTTGTCCTACCTCTCCCCTTCACCACACTGCTCAGAGTGCATCGATTCTGCATCTATGCATATAAATTCTTTGTTCTTTCTAGATGGAAACTGAGGCATTGAGATGTTAAGTAGTTCCCCGTCTCAGGGGGGATCTGAGCTGCCAGGATCTGGATTTACAGGCTTTCTCTCGTCTGATTGGCTGCCCCCGGGGAGGGGGCGGGCGGTACAAAGGGTAGTTATTTGCTTGGACGTGGGGGCTCCGTTGAACAATGCCCGGGAACCTTAGGAAGGGCGGCCGGAAAAGTTTCTCACGTTCAGCTTTTCCTCAGCCCTTTGAGGTCACTTTCAATAAAATTTGCAAATGACTGCCGCGGGAGATATGCAAATGGCTCGGTGGAAAAGTCGCTGGGAGTGTCAGCCACCCGCCCGCGCACTCTTTTTCAGTGAATGTGTTTGAAGACAAAGCCTCGTGCATTTCCCCGCTCCCTTTCCCACTTGCTATTCCAATTAGAGTATATTAGCAGAACAGCCATTGATTTGAACTGAGTATGCCTATGAGCGGGGCTCACTGAAAGCAGGAAAGTGCTGTATGATTTCTTTTTTAGAAATATATTTAATTGGTTTCAGAGAATAAGGGAGAGGGAGAGAGAGAAACATCCACGGTGAGAGAGAATCATGGACCGGCTGCCTCCTGCACTCACACACTGGGGATGGAGCCTGCAACCCGGGCCTGTGCCCTGACCTGAATTGAACCCTGACCTCCTGGTTTTTAAGTTGATGCTCAAGCCTGAGCCACACCAGCCAGGCTGTATAGCTTATTCTTTTAGGCACTCCCAGGCAGTACCTTGTACCCAAAATTAAATAACCCAAAAGCAGAATAGTAAGTATATCCCACTGTTATGTGCAGTTTGAACTGTCAGAACTCACAGCTCTTACTCTCTTTTTAAAAAAATATTTTATTGATTTTTACAGAGGAAGGGAGAGGGATAGAGAGTTAGAAACATGGATGAGAGAGAAACATGGATCAGCCGCCTCCTGCACACTCCCCACTGGGGATGTGCCCACAACCAAGGTCCATGCCCTTGACCAGAATCGAACCTGGGGAGTTCAGTCCGCAGGCTGATGCTCTATCTACTGATCCACACTGGTCAGGGCGCTTTTAAAGTCTCTTCACCCTGAAAAAGAAACTGAAGCAAAACCACGCAAACACACCTGACAACGGTTCCTGAGAATCCACGAATGTTGGCGGAAAGGGACCGGGATGGCCATGGAGCCTGGTGGCTCTCCAGGAGGCCCGGGGGAGCTGTGGGCTTTGATTGTCACAGTGACCGGCAGGGGCTACTGGCACTTAGTGGGCAGGTGCCAGGCGTGCTAGTCTACAGTGCGGGACGCTCACCTAAAAACGAATTCCTTAGAATTAACTCTATTTGACATGCAAGCACAAACTAGCTTTGCCCAGTTTTTTTGTTTTGTTTTGTTTTGTTTTGAATCCTCACCCTATGATATTTTTCCTTTTAGAGAAAGGGAGAGACAGAGATACCGATGTGAGAGACACATCAATTGGTTGCCTCCCACATGCCCCGACCAGGGCCCGCAGCCTGCCACGGGGTAGTGCCCTTGACCTGAACAGAACCTGAAACCTGTCAGTCCCTAGGCCAATGCTCTGCCCACTGAGCAAACTGGCTAGAGCTCTTTGGCCAGTTTTTAAAAATTGATTTTAGAGAAACACCGGTTTGTTTGTCCACTTATTTACATATTCATTGGTTGCTTCGTGTGTGTGCCCTGACCAGGGATGGATCCTGCACCCTTGGCTTACAGGAAAGATGCTCTAAGCCAGTGATCGGCAAACTCATGAATCAGCAGAGCTAAATATCAACAGCACGACTGACATTTCTTTGGAGAGCCACATTTTTTAAACCTAAACTATATAGGTAGGTACATTGTTATTAACTTAATTAGGGCACTCCTCAGCTGGCCTTTGCTAAAGACTCAAGGGGCCAAAGAGCCGCATGTGGCTCGCAAGCCCGTTTGCAGAGCACGGCTCTAAGCAGGTATGGGGCAGGGCTCTCAGTCTGGATACAACGATTTCTCCAGGAATGTAACTACCACAGCGAGGGAGGCAACATTGTGCTATTTTGTTTCAAACATTATCAACAATTAGCCATTTTGTAAAAGAAAGTCACCAATGGCAAAATGGCTCATCATACTGAAAACACACGTATCCAATCTCATTTTTAAAAATTGATTGGAGAGAGAGAGATAGAGATAGAGATAGAGAGAGAGAGAAACGCATTGATTCGTTGGGTCCATTGGCCAGCTCCTGCTCGGTGTGCGGACCGGAATGCAGGCTGGCTTGGTGCTGGGTGCAGGGACCCTGCCAGCCCACAGCCGGCGGCCAGGGCTGCCGTCGCGTTGGGAAGTGCCCGGGCGGGTGTCTGCATCCGCTGGCGTGCCTGGGAGCGGTCACACAACAAATCCGTCTCATTCTAACCACCCGGCTTTTATTCGTTGGATCATGTGTTTTTGAAATTGTGTATTTTTATTACCTGTGATTTCTTATTCCAGCAGGGTTGTCGGGCGTTAGAAAACACTGCTAGAAAAAGGAGTGGTCTTTTCAGGGGTACGCGGTCCGGCCGACTCTTCTCCCAAACGAGCAAGTGGAGACCAGAGCAGGGAAGCACCTGCCCGGGCACCGGGTTATCTCCTGCCTCCTTAGGATGATTCCACTTTAGAACTGGGAAGGGGAGTGGTGTCTGGGCAATCATGTGAGGAGGATGAGCTATCGGAATTTGGGTGTTTTTTTTTTTGGGGGGGTGGTGGTGGTGGTGGTATTTGTCAGGCTGCGGGTCGGAGAGGAGGGAGAGGCGTTTGTGAGAAAGAACCGTCCGTGCGGCCGCGCCCTGAAGCCAGGGACCCGCCTGTTTCTCACCTGCCGGCCCGGGCATGGGGGCTGGGACTAGGGGTGGCGGGTTAGGGCGGGCCCCCTGTCTCCCCCCCCCCCCCCCCCGCAGTGGCCGAGGCTGGTGATGAAGCCACATCACTTGGCAGCCCCCCTGTTCCCGAGGGGAGCCGTTCCCGGCGCCCAGGGTCCCCGGCTTTGAGGGGGAAATAAAGGGCCCATGGAGCACTGGTGCCCGCGGAGGCCGGGGTCCCTCCTGGGTGCGCACCCAGCCGCTCAAACTCGGCGCCTGTTTTATTGTTTCCTCATCGCGGGGTTCGCGGGCGCTGGAGTCTGGGGGTGACTCTGAGGGATGGCTGCGTTTCTAGGCGGCGTCCCCGCTGCCTAGGCAACGGCGCCGCAGAGCGACGGCCCCCGGCGCGCCGCCAGCTCCCCCTGCCCCCAGCCCGGCCCCCTTCCCTCTCCCCTTCCTCCCGTCTCCATCGCCTCCTTCTCCCACTCCTCTTCCCACGTCCCCCCGGGGACCCCCCGCATGGCGAGCGCCCTATTTAAGCCTCGGTTTCCGGGTCCACAAAATGGCCACCGCGGCCGGCACCTGCGGTCACGTGACCCCGGACTGCGGATAGGGTGGCCGCGGACCAGCGAGGGCGATCGGTTTGGAAAAATCTCCCGGCATCCGCTCGTCCGGACACTGAGAGAAAGAAAAGAGAGCGAGGGCAAGCGCCAGGAAGGGAGGAACAGCGAACCTCGGGAATGGAGGGGATGGAAGGTGACCGAGGCCTTAAAGGAAATGTTAAAGCCCCTAGCGGGAGAAAAGCGGGAAGACGAGTTCTCGCGATATCTCGAGAGCGAGCCTTCCGCGGGGAACAGGGAAGGGAAGCTCTAGCGAAGTAGGACAGCGTTAGCGTTTTGAGTTCCCAGGTAGGACGACCAGCCAGGGACGGGAAAACACGAAATCCCGCGAGATTGGGGCCGTCCGGGCGCTCAGTCGCTAGGCAGAAGTGGTGGGGCAGCGGGAGCGGGGGTGTGAAAGGGAGGGCGCGCACAGTACGTGCTGACGTCACAGCCAACGAGTGGGTATATTAGATCCCTGGCAGCGCCGAGCGCTCCAGAGCCGCAGTTCTCCCGTGAGAGGGCCTTCGCGGTGAACCTAACGCACTCGCTCAGCAGCGGAAGACTCCGAGTTCCCGGTACTCTTCAGGGATGAGTCATGTGGCGGTGGAAAATGCGCTCGGGCTGGACCAGCAGGTGAGCTGCCCTGCGCCCCGGATCCCTCCCCTCCGCCAACCTGGCTTATGGCGCAGCGCCCGCGGACGCCCTTCGCTCCCATTTCCCGGCCGCCTCGGGCTGGCGCGGGGCCGCGGGGCCGCGCGGGAGCGGGGAGGTGACGGGAACGCGGCTAGTGACCGGCGCCCGGGCCGGGTCCCCGGCTCGACCCGCGGTATTGTCCCCGGCACGAGCACAATGGCGGCTTTTGTGTGTGCCGGCGCGGGCGGGGAGGGCAGGGTGCGCGCGCTCGCGGGGAGGCGCACGCGCGGGCCCGACCGACCGACCGGCGCGGGCGGCGGCGGCGGGGTGCGCCCTGGGCTCTTTGTGGCCCCGCGGCCCGGCTGCCCGGCAGGCGGCGGCCGGGAGCGCGCGCGCGCCCCCGCCGCGGCCCGCGGCCCTGGAATGCGGGGGGGCGGCGCGGGGGGCGGCCCGCGCCGGTAATGGCGGCGGCCTCCTTTGTGTGGCGCCGGGCGGCGGGGCGGCGCTGGCGGGGGAGGGAGGGGGAGGGTCCCCGGGGCCCGGCCGGCGAGCGCCCGGAAAGGGAGATGGAAGGGGCGTCCGGGCCATCGGCGGCGGCCTTCCTTCCGCAGGCGGCCGCGGCCCGGAGCCGGCTTCCGGAGTGGAAAGTTTTGTGACGCAGAAGGTTCGGGGCGGGGGGGGCAGGGCGCGAGGGCGCCGCGGCGCCGGGCTCTGGGGGCCGAGGCTGAGCCCCGGGGCCCTTCCCCGCCGCTGCACCCCGTAGGCACTGCGGCGCCGCAGCCGGTGGCCAGCGCTGCTGCTGTTGTGTACGTATTTCCCCCGGTTTTGTTTTTCTTGGAAGGGACCTCGGGTTGTGTGAGCGTCCGCTCTGGCGTTTGATCCAGGGGATCGGCCAGAGCAGGAAGGCAGCCCAGCCTCCCGGCCCCGTGGCTGGGATCCAGGGTGGGGGGAACGCTCGATGCGGCTCCGGGGAAAGACAGAAGTTGTGTTGACTTGTTGCTGCCGTGGAGGAGGTGGTGCAATAGGTCAGATGAGGTGTGTGGCGGCCGCGGGGCCGGGTGGCAGGAAGTCTGCATTCCTCTGCGACGGTGCTCCTGGCCCCGGGGACTCCGCCGCCTTCCCTGAGCCCGGGCATGACCCTGAGACGAAACTTAGTGACAGCTGAATTACTGATCGTGTGTGTCCTTAGGGTTAATTTCTTCTTTGGAAACATTCTTTCCATTAATCAGTTACATTAAGTCCTCCGAATTGCTCACACGTCTTATGTCAGAGGAGGAGAAAAAAGGGCTGGTGTTCAGGCGGCTTTAGCATTTGCCATGTAAGTGGTGCCTTTTGAACATTTCCTCACCCGAGGGTATGTTTTGGTTTTAGCCAGGAAGGGAGGAAAGGAAAAGCATCCTTGGCAGAGAGACAGAAAGATCCATCCATTGCCCCCCCCCCCCCCCATTTGCCCTGATGGGGGGTTCAGCCTGCAACCTTTTGGTGTACAGGGTGACACTCCAACCCACTGAGCTACCCGCCGCCAGGGCAGGGGTGCCGCTTTTTAAGATTCTAGGCAGGAATAAACTTGAAATTTGCAATTGATGTAATTCGAAAGAAGACGCAAGCCTTAGAATTCAGCAGCAAGCAAATTCACCGCTGAGAAAATTGCGACAGTGTAATCTTGGCGATCTTTAAACACTTAACTAGCGTTGAAAGTTGCCAAGTGTAAAATTAATAACTGGTAACAAGTGCAAACAAAGTTTTTCTTTTGTGCTTTCATGTGCCAGTCTGTTGCGATAACTTCTCCAGAGAGAAAGCCTTGACAGCGTTTTTGCTAATAGAAATTATAGAAATAAGGCCCTTTAGTCTGCTCAGCTCATTTTCTTTAAGACACAGCATCTGTGTCCAATCTTCAGTGACTCCATTGATGGTTGCAATGAGACAGAATCGCTTTGACCTTTTCACGGAAGTTATGGTATGGCTATAGCACATCACCTTTGCAGACAGTTGGCAGCAGGAGTCTGGTCTTTGGCTTATAAAATACTTCTTTAGGCAGATATAGATCTCTCCCCCCCCCCCCCACTTGTAAGTAGTTCCTGGTTAGTCATAACAGAATGTGATGAAGATAGCAGGTTTGTGTGTGTGTTTTTGATTTTTTGCAAAGCAGGTCTTTTTGTAGAATGAGGTTTCAACTAGTATAAGGGGATAGATAAAAATGGGGATTAGAGAAAAGCAGCCCCAGTCTTTGAGGCATTGAATGCCAGTTGTGCTTATCTGTGGTGACAATGGGAGAATCCGGAGGCACCCACTTCCCAGGGCTGTTTTTAACCTCGTGCTGAGTGGTGGGTGTATTAATATTTTCTAAGAGTGCTACCCCATTAAACATGCTTGTGCAGTATTGGCATAAAAGAATTAAAATTTTGTTCTGACGTTTTTAGGTGTGCTTTTACATATTTAAAATAATCCCAAGTAGAAAGTTGGCTTTGGAAACATTTGTCAAATATAATTGGAGCTAAAATTCATCCTTTGTGTATTTGACATTTTAAAATGATTTTCAGTTCTGGAGCTTTTTCTGGGGTGAATGTTATGCGGGAGAAATCTGAATGAATGACGCACAGGGACCCGGTTTCTCTACAGCCGCATCTGGGCGTGCTGCCGTCTGCAGTATGGACAGGGATACTGTTGTGTTTATTTAGAATTTTTCAGTCTTTGGAGCACATCCTCAGTCACCTTTGCGTTAGTAGTTTCAAACCAGCCCCATGATTCGGAGCAGACTAGTTTTAGTAATACCTCACCATTCTGGCTACTAACCGTCTAACTCTCTTCCAGTTTGCTGGCCTAGACCTGAACTCTTCAGATAATCAGAGTGGAGGGAGTACAGCCAGCAGTAAGTAAAATGTTTTATGGATTTACTGAATATTAGTTTTAATGCTGTTCATTTTTTGGGTTTATTTAAAATTTAACAATTTCCCCTCTGGTTTTTACGGTGTAAAGAATTATGTAAGAATTATGAATTAGTGATCAATATAAAGCATTGTAACCTTTTGGTAGTAAAAAAAAATACTGGTTTTCTTGAGTTGAAAACAATCATTTAAAGAAATACAACACACAAATTACCTCTAGAAGGCTGGTATGAATCCTGAGCCCAGCTTAGAGGTGGTGGGTTGGGAAACATTCAGTTGTTACAGCTAGCTACCCCTTTTCCATGAAGAAAGTGAAAGCAACGGAGCAAAGCTATATTGAATCTGGTGCTTAGGATTTTAAGTGCTGTGTCACTGTCATTCTTTTGAAAAGTAGATATATAGGTGGGATGTAAACAAAATAAATTGACAAAATAGATCCAGAGGTATGGATGCATGGAACCCAACTGATCTCAGTGAGGGAATTGGGGGGAGGGGATAGGAACACATTAACCAAAGAGCATATGCATAGCCCCTGGGGAAGCCTGGGGTGGGGCAGAGGTGGGGTGGAAGGGGGCAAAAAGGGAGGAGATTGGGAGATAATCTAATATTATCAACAATAAAATAAGATATAAAAGTTTCTTTTTTGGGGGGGACTTGTTAGATTAAAATTAAAAGTAGGGTATCTTACTGGGTTATTATTTGGCAGTAGACTTGCTCTAGCTCAGGTCTCTCCCTGTAGTGTCTGAAATCGGTATTTCTTCAAGCACTGTGTTACACTCCTGGCACATAGTTACTTAGTATCTTATTTATTTGAGGGAGAGAAACAAACAGATTTGTTGTCCCACTTATGCATTCAGTTTGTGTCTTGTATGCACCCTGACTAGGGATTGCACCCACAACCTTGGTGTACCAGGACGATGCTCTAACCAACTGAGCTACCCAGCCAAGGGCCATTTAGCATTTGTTTTAAATCTCACTATATTTGCCATTCATGCTAAAAATGTTAAACATTGGTCCTCCTAATAGAGATCTGTAGTATTTAATTTGACCCAGAAGGGGAAAGGGAAGTTAAATTGCACATTTATTAGAAATAAGTGAGTTGATTTTCTTTTTTGTTTTTGCCTTATCCATTTTCTAGGCCATATTCTTACCTGCATGCAGAGCAACAGTTAACTCCCCATAAACTCAGCAAGCCCCAAATTAAAACCCCAGTCCCATTTCAGTTTTTCCATACACACACACACACACACACACACACACACACACACATATATATATATATATATATATATATATATATATATATATTCTGTTCTGGAAATTACCAGGATGGAAACAAAAAGGTCTTTCAGGTTATAGTAATACTTCAGGTGCAACTGCTTTAATCTACAACAATTCTCAAATCATAGCAGACCTAGTGGCAAGTTAAATTTTTTTGTGCAGTTTAACTGTTAGTTACCAAGTCAAATTTTTGTTTGCCAAACTTGTCCTTTTTTAAAGTTATCCTCATAAAGCAATAACCCACTTAAAAGGGGATCCCCAACCCCCCCTTACCAAGTTAGACCAGAAGGCTAGAGATTTACATTATTTGTGTTTTGTTTTTTTTTTTAGAAGGGCGCTACATTCCTCCTCACCTAAGGAACAGAGAAGCTACTAAAGGTAAGTCCTTTGAGCATTTTGGGGACCTACCAGTACCTCTTGCTGTGTGTACAAGTTTGAGCCCAGGGAAATGAGGCGCCCTGGGAAGTCTGTAAATGCTCTTCCGGCAGCAGGTTCCAATATTAGGGCCTCAGCACTTTGGAAAACCTCATCTAATGTCACACCGTGAAAACGGTACAACTCACTGACCTGTGCCTCTAGTCTGGCTGTTCGCAGCATGATTTTAATTGAAAAAGGTGAGTGGGCAGCCTACTCTGTAAACCAAACTGCATGGTGATAACAGCCCAGCTGTTTCTGTCTTGCAGAGATGCTAAAACAGAGCTGGGGTTATTGTGGACTAGCTAATAAGGTACATAGCGTTGGGCATGCTCCTAATAAGTTGGGAGTGATTCCCCGATTTCATTTACTTGCCTGAATGCTTCATTTGAAAGACTTTATCCTAAAGGTATCCCAGCATTGGGTCTGTTCCCATTTAGTGTGTGATGTAGTGACATGTCTCATTATGGCACAACTGTTTGGGTGCTGCATGTTTCCTTACGTGGTTGGAAGAAAAGGATAGGTCAGGAAAATGATTTAAGGCCAGAGGGAATATGCTGGATGTATGAAAGGGTGGAGAGAGTCCACAGGAGCATATGCGTGGCTGCCACTCCACCCATATGTAGTCTGTTAGCGTCACTGTCCCTGGCAGTACATGAGGATACCGTCTATTGTTCCCGTCACATTACTTGGTTGTGTCCCTGTTCTTAGTTGCTACAGTTTGTCTTTATCATCACGGGTGTTGTCATTTGTCATCCTTAGAGTGTCCTGCTGGGCTTGCCCCATGGACATCAGTGCTTGCTTCCCCCTTGGCTGCAGTGACACAACAAAGGGAGGGGCAGTGGAGGAGGTTTTAGAGCCGGAGAGATCTTGGAACTCTCACTCAGTTCTTCACTGATAGCCAAAACTGTGGTCACCAGGCTGGCCGCTGGTAGAGGCAGAAGGCTGAATGAAAGTCACTTAATTAACTTGTAAACTCTGGATAATAGTGTCACTGAAAACAGTTAAACTTCCTACTTGTCTTTAAATCCCCTGCCTGTTTATACCTCTGTCACAGCTTACTGAATGCTGTGCTGTATCCTGGGCCTGTCCATCTGAGGAAGGGGGAGGGTTTCCTTTCTGGGGATTCTTGGTTCTGGTCTCACGTGAACTGAGGACTGTTCTTAAGCTTTTTACTGTTGAGGCAGTTAAGTACTGTATTAAAAGCATGTGACACTCCCAAATGTTGCAAATGAATATTACCCCTAGGAAACATTAAAACCAGCGGTAACTGGTTCCTAGTAAACTCACTGTATAACATGAATGGGATCTCCTCCCCGCCCCCCAATCTTAAGAGAAAGCTTACTCGGAAAGTTACAGAAGCAGAGAAGGCCGCTGGAACTTAGGCTGAGGGAGGCAGCGGGGCCCTCCAAGGGGCAAGCGGGCAGAGAGCAGTCTGGGCTGGGCAGAGTGCTTGTTCAGAGCACAGCATTTCCTAGTGGAGAGGATTAAAGAAGACATCCTGTGGCCATGTAAGCCAGCTCTACATCTTGCTTCTCTAGTGCCACGACAGGCATTATTCCCATTGTCCCTCCAGTCTGCAGGGAATAAAGGGACTAGAGGGCTTCCGATTCAGAAACATATCCCGTTACGGTATTTACCGCTTTCTAATACTACATTAAAATGGATCTGTGTTTTGTGTGTTTGTTTTTTTGAATTGAAGGATTCTACGATAAAGACCCTTCCGGTTGGAGTTCTAGTAAAGACAAGGATGCATACAGCAATTTTGGAGCTCGTGGCGATTCCAGAGGAAAGTCTAGTTTCTTCAGTGATCGTGGAAGTGGGCCACGAGGAAGGTACGTGGGTTTTTTTACTTGACGTGTTTGTGCGATATAGCCGTTTAGGAATTGGTCTTTAATTTGGTAAGTCCTCATCCCTGTACTCCGGTCATTGAGCATCTTTTCTCCTTAATAGACCACCTATTTGGATGTTAAGTATAATGTCTGTTAAAACCATATCTTCTTAACTGGGAGAGGTCTGAACTAAATTGAACTTTTTATGTAGAAATTAGGTAAGAATAAGAATGATCCCTTTGGCATAATGAACTCGGCTATTATATCTCTCTACTTCTGTATAGTCTATTTAAAAGAGTAAACTTATCTAGTGAATGGCCTAATTTGGTTGAGATTTTTGTGGATATTCTATATGGCAATTTTTAAACACCTTGTATTTTTGATTACACAAGTGTGGTGAACTGACCTCATGTGCCTAAGAGCTGTGGTTAGTCCTGTGTGTCCTGATTTTTCGCAAACAGGCCTAAAACTCTAAAAACATCCTAATTCAGGTAAGGATTATTTTCTACTTTTTATCCAAAATCTGTCACACAGGTGAATTGTCCTTTAAATGACATTCTCATATACCCGGGACAATTGATACTTGGTGTGGTATTTTCTTTCTTTTTTCTTTTTTTTTTACTTGGTGTGCTATTTTCTTCTTTTCCCTACCACTAAATATATGTGGATATAAAGGTACTGATTACAGATATACAAGATTTGGTTCTTAATTTTTAGCATGTATGAGGCCTGGGTAGGCTATATAATTTATAGAAATAAAGGATACTGATTTTAGAAAATAAAGCTATATACCGTAAGTTATACATATCTAGTAATTAGAGGGCCTTATTTGTCGAGTAAGAGCAAGCCAGAATTGGACTGCTGACATCCTAGAAGTGAGCCACAATGAATAATTCCAACATCTCCAGGTCCCGTTCTAGAATAGTGGTAGGAGAATGAAAACTGGTTAAACGATAGGATTCTGATTAAGTGCTTGTGCTGTTCAGGTTTGATGACCGTGGCCGGGGTGACTATGATAGCCTTGGTGGCCGTGGTGACAGAAGCGGCTTTGGCAAATTTGAACGCGGTGGAAACAGTCGCTGGTGTGACAAATCAGACGAGGATGATTGGTCCAAACCACTCCCGCCAAGTGAACGCTTGGAACAGTAAGTGTCTGCAGTGATGCTAATGGCGATGCAGCGTAGCCTTATTAGCTAGTGTGATAAACACTTACCTTTCTTGATTTCAGGGAACTCTTTTCTGGAGGCAACACTGGGATTAACTTTGAGAAATATGATGATATTCCAGTGGAGGCAACAGGCAACAACTGTCCTCCGCACATTGAAAGCGTAAGTATTTATGCTTACTCTTAAGACAGGGAAATGAGTTTTTTTTCACAGCCTGCCAAAATGATGTAGGCATAGAGACCATGCTTGGCTCATTTTAACAGTTCTTCAAAAGCTAGCCTCATTGGTGGAAAGGATTGAGCTCAGTCAGTGTTACCATTGATACGAAATAGGAAATTGGTCAAACACAGGAAGCACCCAAACTTTCCAATGTAGATACCCGCCCCCCAGTGTAACATAATTTTTACTTAAAGCAGCTGTAAACTCAAGTGCAAATCAGCTATTAGGTTTTTTCATTGTTATGTTAGTATGAAAACAAAAGTGGCTATGTCTAGCAGTTTAACCCTGTTGAATTTCTCTGCAGTTCAGTGATGTTGAGATGGGAGAGATTATTATGGGTAACATTGAGCTTACTCGTTACACTCGCCCGACTCCAGTGCAAAAGCATGCTATTCCTATTATCAAGGAGAAGAGAGACCTGATGGCTTGTGCCCAGACAGGTAAGCTCCGCCTTAAAGTGAAAGGAGAGAATGGCCTGTGACCCACAGGAATGGGGCTGGGGGAGGGGTGCCTCCTGGGTAGAGGAGCACCTCCCAGCTTTTGGAAATGGGGGTGTTTCTAGCCTCTGAATGCAGTACAGGCTTTACTGTGTGTGTGAGTTAGACCATTTTGAAAGAGAATGCCCCCCCCACCCCCCCACCCCCCCAATAACAGTACATATCATTGGAATCATTTGGCCTTCGGAACGGTGAGAATGCCACCCTTCACACACTAGCGAATATACCAACGAGGAAGTGTTAGAAATGGAAATGGGTACTGACTTCAAGGCAAAAGTTCTGTTTTCTTTATAAACAACACTGCAGAGGAGAGGACACTGTTACTGATCAGTGTTTGGTATGCTTTCCTAGAAAGGAACAAAATAAACTTCCTTTATGGCCACATTCTCTCTGCATCCACTCAGCTCTGCTGTTGTAACGTGAGCACAGCCACCTGTGAATTATTGAGTGTGGTGGCTGCATCTGTAAAAGATGGTCTAGGCCGTAGTTTGTGGCCTCCTGTTACAGTGGATCAGAGAAGTCCCTTGGTATTTTAACTTGCCTGTTACTAGGACAGTTACAAAACAGCCACCTACCAATGTTTATTCAAAAGGAACCCGCTTTTCCTGTGGTTGACTGAACATGCGTTCTCTCCAACAGGGTCTGGGAAAACCGCAGCGTTTCTTTTGCCCATCCTGAGTCAGATTTATACGGACGGTCCAGGCGAGGCCTTGAGGGCCATGAAGGTAAAGATTTCCTTACGAAATGGGGATGATGGTATTTGGTTGGCTGTAAGGGACACTAAAACCCACTCCAGTCTACCTGATTGATGTAAGACTGTCTTCAAGTGTATCCATAAATTACAGGAGGGAATTTTGTATGTTGTTGAGTTTTAATTTGTAAATGAATTTCTTAGGAAAATGGAAGGTACGGGCGCCGTAAGCAATACCCAATCTCCTTGGTATTAGCACCAACCAGAGAATTGGCAGTGCAGATCTATGAGGAAGCCAGGAAGGTAAGTGTGCATTTTAGCCATTTCGTCTTCCTCGTTGACTCTGAAATGTTTTATGACTTTGTAAAAATCTCGGCCTTGAGGTGGATAAAATTTCTTTGCTTATAGTTTTCATACAGATCTAGAGTTCGTCCTTGTGTTGTGTACGGTGGTGCTGATATTGGTCAGCAGATTCGAGACTTGGAACGTGGATGCCACTTGTTAGTAGCCACCCCAGGGCGGCTGGTGGATATGATGGAAAGAGGCAAGATTGGACTAGACTTCTGCAAGTACGTTACATTTCACATCCCTGGGACGCTATGTTAATGTTTAAATTTCTGGCCGTTAGTTTTCTGGAACTCACCGTAATAGTGTTAGTTAAACTTGAAAAATTTGAGAGGTGGTTTATGTTGTCTTCTAAGTTTGGCTAAAATTTGGTTATTTTAAGTTTTAATGTTGAAAAACCTGACATTTCTGTAGAGGCTGAGAATGGCCTCTGGGACAAATAGTAAGAACTCATTTCATGGAGCTTGGGTGATCTATTCAGTGGCAGACCCTGCCCTGTCACATGGATCAAACTGTGTGAGTGAGGAAGTTTAGCTCCCTGAATGAGTAATATAATGGTACTTACCCATACAGCTAGACCAAAACTCTCCTCAGATTCTAAACTGGGTTTTTCTCCTCACAGATACCTGGTGTTGGATGAAGCCGATCGGATGTTGGACATGGGGTTCGAGCCTCAGATCCGTAGAATAGTTGAACAAGACACGATGCCGCCCAAGGGGGTGCGCCACACCATGATGTTCAGCGCCACCTTCCCGAAGGAGATCCAGGTACTGCAGTGGTGGATGCGGCAGGCGGGATGCTGTCAGGAATCTGTCTCGGGAGGTACTGAAAGTTTTTCTCCTTCAGATGCTTGCTCGTGACTTCTTGGATGAATATATCTTCTTGGCCGTGGGAAGAGTTGGCTCTACCTCTGAGAACATCACACAGAAAGTAGTTTGGGTGGAAGAGCCAGACAAACGGTCGTTTCTGCTTGACCTTCTAAATGCAACGGGTAAGCTAGGAAGTTAGCTTTACTCTGGCGCCCAAGCAATGCGAATCCATTGGGATCACTGTGACTGCTTTTCCTTACCCCGGGCATTCTGTTAACATGTCTTAATGAAAATTTTTTAAAAAATATATATTTTACTGATTTTTTTTTTTATACAGAGAGGAAGGGAGAGGGAGAGTTAGAAACATCGATGAGAGAGAATCATCGGTCAGCTGCCTCCTGCACACCCCCTACTGGGGATATGCCCGCAACCAAAGTACATGCTCTTGACTGGAATCTAACCCGGGACCCTTCAGTCCCCAAGCCGACGCTCTATCCATTGAGCCAAACCAGTCCCAGCTTAATGAAATCTCTATGTGTGCGTTTACTAAGTGCCAAAAGAACACAGCCACCGATAGTGACGAAAAACTTGTGCTTTTTCAAATTTAGGCAAGGATTCCCTCACCTTAGTGTTTGTGGAGACCAAAAAGGGTGCAGATTCCCTGGAGGATTTCTTGTACCACGAAGGATATGCATGCACCAGTATCCATGGAGACCGATCGCAGAGAGACAGAGAGGAGGCTCTGCACCAGTTCCGCTCAGGAAAAAGCCCGATCCTAGTGGCCACAGCAGTGGGTGTCATATACTCTGTTTGCAGTTCAGCCTTTGGTTTTCTTTAGTGGGCCATATGTAACGGCAGACTTCCTTTCCAGGTGGCAGCAAGAGGCCTGGACATTTCAAATGTGAAGCACGTCATCAATTTTGACTTGCCCAGTGACATTGAAGAATATGTGCATCGCATTGGCCGCACAGGACGTGTGGGAAACCTCGGTAAGTGCTTGCTTGATGCTCTGGTTACTTTTTACTGTGATTCGTGTAGCAAAGAACTTTTGGGGATCTTAATTTTAAGAACTTCCTATTTCCAAAGAATGCAGGTAACATACATTTCAGCAGAAGTGATAGAAAAGTCAGGATTTGTTTAAATACCTTTGCCTTGGTAAAATAGCAAATTGTAATTTTTTTTTTTTTTTAGTATTCTGCTGAACTATTCTAAGGAAAGAGAATACTGCTTTATGGGAGATCTTGATTTATGTACTTTTGGGAACTGTTTTAGGTCTTGCCACCTCATTCTTTAATGAGAGGAACATAAACATCACAAAGGATTTGTTGGATCTGCTCGTTGAAGCTAAACAGGAAGTGCCGTCCTGGTTGGAAAGCATGGCTTACGAACACCACTACAAGGGCAGCAGCCGCGGGCGGTCTAAGAGGTGAGTGAGGCTCGGGGCACGGGAGGGAGATTGGCTCTGTCCGAGGCCAACCTCAGATACAGGCAGTCCTCTGGCTACGTCGAATTCAACGTAAGTCATTGTCACTTCATGATTACGTCGCCATCTCCCATTTATTTAAAAAAAAAAAATGTTCCGCCATTTTGACGTATGTACATATGTGCTTTGTGTTTCATTATTTACGACAAGTCAGGAATGGTTATTTTCTATTTTTTTTTTTAAAATATATTTTATTGATTTTTTACAGAGAGGAAGGTAGAGAGATAGAGCTAGAAACGTCGATGAGAGAGAAACATTGACCAGCTGCCTCTTGCACACCCCCTACCGGGGATGTGCCCGCAACCAACGTACATGACCTTGACCAGAATCGAACCTGGGACCTTTCAGTCCGCAGACCGACGCTCTACCGCTGAGCCAAACTGGTTTCGGCTATTTTCTATTTTTTTACTGTTTCACTTCACTGCTGTGTACGTGCTCCATGTGAGTGACGTAGGTGCTTATGTAGGTGGGTTCCGACTTCCAGAGGACATGTTACGTGTGGGCAGTAGGAGCAGATATAACCCGAGGACCTACTGTATTAGTTTAACAAGCTTAATTTTATCTTGTTTGTTCAACGCAAGTCAATTCCCTAACATGAGAAGTTAATACAAATCAATGTGTAAAGACACGGACACAATATCAAGTTAGAATCACACAAGGTAGCTTGATTTGTTGGGCATGGTGTTCCTGGGTAGATTCCTAAAGATGGAAAACAGTTTGGTTACCAAGACGACCATGGCCACCTACTGGAACACGGCAGCACCAGTGTGGTCACTGGGCAGCGTCAGGAATTTTGGACTGTTCGGTGGGATCTTGTCATGTGAACCGATCACGGTTTGTCCTTGCAGTAGTCGCTTCAGTGGAGGATTCGGTGCCCGAGACTATCGCCAGAGCAGCGGCGCCAGCAGTTCCAGCTTCAGCAGCAGCCGCGCGAGCAGCAGCCGCAGCGGGGGAGGCGGCCATGGCGGCAGCAGAGGGTTTGGTGGAGGTAAATACTACTTTTTTCTAAAAATATATTTGTACTGATTTCAGAGAGAGAGAAAGTGAGAGACGGAAACACCAACGATGAGTCATTGATCGGCTGCCTCCTGCATGCCCCCACACTGGAGACCGAGCCCGCAACCCGGGCATGTGCCCTGACCTGGTTTATAGGTTGATGTTCAACCACTGAGCTGGGTGGGAAAGATGATATTTGATAGCGGGTGACCTGACTCATCTCTCTTTTCACATCTCTCATCAGGTGGCTACGGAGGCTTTTACAACAGCGATGGATACGGAGGGAATTACAACTCCCAAGGGGTTGACTGGTGGGGTAACTGAGCCTGCTTTGCAGCCGGTCACCCTGCCAAACAAGCTAATATGGAAACCACATGTAACCTAGCCAGACTATAACTTGTGTAGCTTCAAGAACTTGCAGTACATTACCAGCTGTGATTCTCTACTGAAATTTTTTTTTTTGAGGGAGCTCAAGGTCACACGAAGAGATGGAACAATCAGCAGCCCTGTTCGGAAGGTGGTTGGAAGACTTCATTGCTGTAGTTTGGATTAACTCCCCTCCCACCAAGCCCCATCCCAAACTGCATTTATAATTTGTGACTGAGGATCATTTGTTTGTTAATGTACTGTGCCTTTAACTTTAGACAACTTTTTATTTTGATGTCCTGTTGGCTCAGTAATGCTCAAGATACAATTGTTTTGACAAAATAAATTTACTGAACTTGGGCTAAAATCAAACCTTGGCACACAGGTGTGATACAACTTAACAGGAATCATCGATTCATCCATAAATATTATAAGGAAAAAAACTTATGCGGTAACCTGCATTAGGGCTCTTTGATACTTGCAGATTGGGGGGAAACAAACAACAAACATCTTGAAGCATATTAACGGAATTCGTTTCTAATGTGGCGAACTGTATTAAGTTAAAGTTCTGATTTGCTCACTCTATCCTGGATAGGTATTAGAACCTGACAGTCTTTAAACAAGCCATTCCAGTCACGAGGAGGTGATGTATGAACACATGCATACATTCGAAGCACTGTTTCAAAGCTAATGCAAGTAAACACAGCAATTCCTCTTTCAGTGTTCAGGCAGATCATGAAGGATGAGCTGGCCAAATGTGGGCATACTATTCCAGGGAAAGTTTAAAGGTCTGATAACAGGAAACAAATAGGTTTTTAGGAGAATTCATCTACTTAAGACATTTAGATGCCTGCCATAAAAGGAAATGGTAGAATGGCTGACCACAGCAATGACCAGCCCGCAGTAGGGCCCGGATGATTTTTGGTCTAATAACGCATGCTAGTGTTGATGTTTTTTGGTCAAGAGGATATGAACAGGAAGAATTAATGCAGCAGGCTTTCTTTTAAATGCCGATTCACATTACTCTGTTCAAGCTGCGTTGAGATGTTAAACTGGCTTACTATAGACTTTGTAAAAATGGCTCCAGAAGAGGAAGTGAAATCTGAGATCACACAGGTTGGAAATATGTACATAACTGCACAAGGTGTCGATCCTGCTCTCCAGTGCAGTTTAGTCAGTTTTAGTTGCATAGGTTTCCATTGTATTTATAGTCTGTTTATGCTAAATCTGGCCAAAGATGAGCATTGTCCACCACTAAAATGCCTCCGCCACTTTGAATTCTGCGCTAATTTTGTGGCCAGAATGCGGTGATCAAAACGCTCAATCTTTCTACAGTGGCATAGGGAGACGGCAAAAATTTCCTAAAGTGCAATAGATTTTCAAGTGTATTGTGCCTTGTTCTAAAACTTTTATTAAGTAGGTGCACTTGACAGTATTGAGGTCATTTGTTATGGTGCTATTTCAATTAGTCTAGGTTTAGGCCCTTGTACATTTTGCCCATAACTTTTTACAAAATACTTCTTTTATTGCACATTCAGAGAATTTTATATATATGTCTTGTGTGCGTGTCCTTAAACTTCCAATCTTATTTTGTCTCTTGGAGATTGTTGAACGCAGCTTGTCTAGGAAGGGGGATGGGACTAGATTCTAAAATTTATTTGGGACCATGGGAGTGATGGTTGGGAAGAAAAACTATTTGCACACAGATTTCTAGATACTTTTTGCTGCTAGTTTTATGTAATATTTATTGAACATTTTGACAAATATTTATTTTTGTAAGCCTAAAAGTGATTCTTTGAAAGTTTAAAGAAACTTGACCAAAAGACAGTACAAAAACACTGGCACTTGAATGTTGAATGTCACCGTATGCGTGAAATTATATATTTCGGGGTAGTGTGAGCTTTTAATGTTAAGTCATATTAAACTCTTAAGTCAAATTAAGCAGACCCGGCATTGGCAGTGTAGCCATAACTTTCTGATGTTAGAAAAACAAAATTGGCGACTTGAAATTAAAACATGCCAAGGTTTTGATACACTTGTCTTAAGATATTAATGAAACACTTCAGAACACTGATACGAAGTGTCCAGATTCTCAGATGTTTGTTGCGTGAGTTTTGTTTAGTTGTGTGTATTTTTTTTCCCAGTGAATGTCTGGCACATTGCAATCCTCAAACATGTGGTTATCTTTGTTGTATTGGCATAACCAGTGACTTGTGCATTCAGCAATAGCAAGTTCTACCAGTAAGCAATATTTTCAGTTCTAAGGTTTCAAAAATGTAAGAGTGATTTAAACTTGCTGAATGTAAGCATTGAACCCCAAGTCACTGTAGCTTTAGTAATTGCTTATTGTATTAGTTTAGATGCTAGCACTGCATGTGCTGTGCATATTCTGATTTTATTAAAATAAAAAGTTGAACTGCACAGTCTCTTCCGTTGTTGTCAATTGTGGTTTATTATTAGTGTCAATAAAGTTGTGCTCTTGCCTGAACTGGAAGGTGTTTTTTTTTTGGTTGCTGTCCCACTGGTTTTGAGATTCCTCTTGGAGACGGGAATAATCTTGGTTAAGTGTTGGTAATACAGTGGAAAAGGTTTCTGTAATCGATGGGGATCTAAACGGTGTACAGCATGTATTCTAGATAGGGTTACATTTTAAGCAGCTTCAATATGGGTTTGAACCTGTTATTCAGGAAGAATGATTGAAGTGGGAGAACGAATTAACCAGTTATTAGTAATCAAGTGTGGTTAAGGACTTGGGGATCCAAGAATGGATTTGGGCCGCTGGTTTGCAGGTTTGGTCCCCATCTGGGCGGATCCCAGAGGCAACCAATGTTTCTCCCTGTCCCTCTTGCGAATCAAAAACATTGAAATGTTTTGGGGTGAGGGTGACATGGCATGGGCACCTCCGTTACCACACATTGAGGTAGGCAGCTTGCTCCCAATTAACCAATGATGGTAGAACCATAACTGAACAGAACCGTGTGAGACAAGTCATTGGGCATCAGAAGTTGACGATATGGTTCAACCTAATAAGTACACACTGACCTTTTCCCTTTGAGGTCTAGGTTTGCAGTGTGATTAAGAACATTTCTTTATAGTTGCCTTTTATGGAAGATGCCATTGATACTGGAGATGGGAAATGGAGGTAGTTGAGTTTGTTCAAAATAAGTGGGAAGAAAATGGCCAGATTGAAAAGATTGGCAGTGGTTGAAGGTGATTCAAATGGAATTGAATTCTAAGGACGGTTCAAGGTCCCTTTTATCTGTTCTGGGGACTGCCCCAGCCATCCTGTAGTCTAAGTGTAAATAACCTCTCACCAGATAAGTTTTTTTCAAAAAACATCTCAAGCATGTTTGAGATTGCCCAATGTCTGTGCTTAATATTTTTTCCCTCTTAAGTGACCTGGTTGGTTGGTCGCGGGCCACCCCTTTGCAGCTCAGTGACATCTGAGGACTGGTCTGTCCCTCCACACCCGAATGCAGAGATTGCGTTCACTGCAGATACAGGACTGAAGTTAGCTTTCTTGTCTTATTGGACACAGCCTGCATGCACGCTGCCTTAGTTTTTGTGTACCCTCTTCTAATTAGAACGAGCTGAATTATCGCTCCAAATGAGTTCATGTGCTGTGCTCGGAATACACTAGCATTGTAGAGAAAATAATGCCTCTAGTAGGTCGAGGGAAGAGCAGGCTACAATTGGAGGACACAGAATGGCCTCAACTACTTGGAAAGTACATAGAAAAGTGGGAGGAATGTGACTTGGGTTGAGCATCGACCTATGACCAGGAGGTCAGGGTTCGATTCTGGTCAAGGGCACAGGCCTGGGTTTCGGGCTCCATCCCCAGTGTGGGGCGTGCAGGAGGCAGCTGGTCCAGGATTCTCATCATTGATGTTTCTCTCTTCCTCTCTGAAATCAAAAACATACTAAAAAAAAAAAAAGATGGCCAAGCAAACCCAGAAAACAATTTTTATTTATTATTTATTTTTTTAAAAATATATTTTATTGATTTTGTACAGAGAGGAAGAGAGAGGGATAGAGTCAGAAACATCGATGAGAGAGAGTCATCAATCAGCTGCCTCTTGCACACCCCCCACTGGGGATGTGCCCGCAAGCAAGGTACATGCCCTTGACGGGAATCGAACCCGGGACCCTTCAGTCCCCAAGCCGACGCTCTATCCATGGAGCCAAACCGGTTTCGGCAAAACCCAGAAAACAATTTTTAAAAAAGAAGGAGGAGCTCTGCTAAGATAGTGACAGTTCCTGCTTCTGGTTCAAGTTTTATAAAGACTTTCTGCTTCCTATTTGTACTGAACAGATTACAAATGGAAATATGTTTTCTAATAAAGATGTTTTCTCTTTTTTAGCTGTGAGAGTAGTACAGAGGGTCCTGTGGACCCTTCGCCCAGTTCCTGCCGTGGGAACATGGGCACAGCTAATGCAGCATCAAAGTAAGAAGTGGACCCTGGTGCAACCACGGACCTGATTCAGGTTTCTCCAGTTTTACATGTACTGTGTGTGTGTGTGTGTGTGTGTGTGTGTGTGTGTGTGTGTGTGTAGTTCTGTGCAGTTTATCGCGAGCTGATCTGTGTACCCACCTCCACCAAACCGTTCCAGCAGCAGCAGCAAGATCTTCCGAGGCCGCCTCTGTGGTCACCTGCCCCTTCCTGCCTCCTCACCCGTCACCCCTGGCAACCACTCTCTTGGTTTCCATCGCTAAACTCATTTCCACATTGCTAGCAAAATGGAGCTGTGTGGTACGTACCGTGTGAGACTGGCTTTTTGTCATTCAGCGCAATGACCTTGAGAGCCATCCAAGTGCCTGCAGTTCCGCCTTGTAGCTGAGTATGGATGGGTCCTTGTCCATTCAGCCAGCGAAGGACGTTGGCTTGTTTCCAGTTGTTGCTGTTAATCCTCACCTGAGGACATTTTCCCATTGATTTTTATTTTTATTTTTTAAATAT